GCGATGAACGCGTGACCCGAAACGAAACGAGTCATATAAGACAGCAGAGCTAACCGTTAGTTGAGAATTCAATCTCATCAGAGGTCCTTCCTCCGACTTCAACTCCCAAGAGCCCTAACGGAACTTCGGGAGAAAGTGGGAATTTGGTGGGAACTCGGGAGAAGCGAGAAAGAGGGAAAGGCAATGAAATAAGAAAAAAGTGAAAATCAAGTGTCTCTACGCGTATGAATTCGTTCGAGGCGGTAGTGCTTTTACCTCGAATTCAAACACATTCCAATCCCAACCGAACATCGAAGCCAGAGGCACACCTAGCTCCGTGCCGAAGGTTCTGCACCCCTCAGTCGGAGGTTCTGCATCATCCACAAGTTTCTTCTTTCTTACAGATAAGCAAATATCAACGCCGTACTAGTACCGTTCCAAAAGAAATTACCGTTAGCGAAAGAGTCTGCGGAGACCGTGAAAGCGGGCGGGCTTTTGTTTCCCACAAAATGGAACCATTTACATTTATTTACTTTTTTCTTTTTTACTTTTTGTAGTTTTATCAAAAACATGTATGCTCCACGTACGCTTCTTTGATGTGACGCTAACAGTACTACTTCGATAACGCCTAAAAGAACAAATATGGCCGATTTGTTGTCTTTCGCCATTGGTATCAAAGTTAACTAAAAGCCTATGGCGAGTACCTGTCGAACAACAGAAAACAAAAGAAGCTGCATGAGGAACAAAAAAGATTATTAGAACTAATTAGTAGAAGCTCAATATTGTTATAAATAAAAAAACACAAACCTTTACATGTTGAATAACTTCTAGCCTTTATTGTACGTAACGGGAACTTACTTGAGATTCTTTATCATTAACAAAAACTTGTGGTTTAAAAAGCGATAATATTTTAGGCGTCAAGGTCTAAACGAACAGGCCTTCGTAAACACCTTTGGCAACAATTTTGTTCATCGTTACGCCGCAATTTTACATGAGTTACCAAACACAAAAGCTTGCTCATAAACAGGGCTGTAGAGAATAACTACAGTCATGTAATTAGCGCAATACATCATACTAATTTTGATGAGAAGACTCGTACCAGCGTTGATAAGCTCTTACAAATAAACGAATGAGCTTTAGATTCGAGTCGACATTTTTTTTTTGTTGATTTTATAACCTTAAAAGTTGTAACGCTATGCTGTATTGAAGTCGGTAACTTTTTATAGTACTGCTCTGGTATTCATCTAAAAGAACTACAGGTACGGGACCACAACTTGACATTCGCCCAGTTTAAATTAATCGGACCTAGTACGCCGGGACGGTCTTTGGCCATGGATTTTTCAGCGGTACGGGGGCCTGTGGCAGCAGGTACACCCGAAAGATCCATGGAAAAATCCACATATTTCTCTAACGTTTCTTAAATGAAAAAGTTGATAGTCTGTTGTTGCAGCTCTAAGGAACTTGCATTGATATTCATTAAAACTATTTAATGAAATATATTTATTGAAAAGGTTTTTATAGAAATTATTCCCTAGCTTGAGTTTTATCTATGTGGAAGACTCGATATAGCCAATTGTGTGCAATTTTCACAAGTTTTTTAAAGCAGCCGATATCCGGTACGTCATTTCTACTTAGGTGTTATCCAAGCTAACAAATAATAATAGGATTTGTTTTCTCTACCGAATACGTAGCCAACTTCGGAGTCAGATCCGAAATTCGGTAACACATTCTCTGAGACTTTACATAAACGTTGATTAAGTTAAGAAGCAAGTTAACGTTTCGCAATTGAGTTCATAGAAAAGCTGGCACTTCTTACTTGGGCTGCTGGTTTACAAGTAGATAGAGTAATAATAATGACCAATCTTCAGTCTGCACTATTTCTGAACATGCATTATTGTATCCAACTAACACGCAAGAGCGAAGTAGTCTAGTACCTATCTTTGGCAGTCTGAAATGCGAGTACGCTCGCTTTGAAACCCCACACCGAAACATTTACACGGGCTGTATGTACTCTAAGCCAATTTGGAAGCAGCACCTCGACTACATCCCCGATCATCAATTTCCCCCTGTGTCAGAGCAAAGTGGCATGGTAAGTTATGCCTATTTAGAAAGACTTTAAACTAGCCTCGATCCGTTCCATAGTTTCGTACTGTATATCGACATTCGCTAGATGAAGTCCTCCATCAGAGACAAGGCAACGTAGTAAGCTGAATTGGTAAAAACAACGCCGTAACCGGCAATGAGATCTATATTGAGACGTTCACTGGTGCGGCACTGTTTCGAAACAGACCAAAGACAAGAACTCAACTTTGACACAGCCATTCGAAATCATCTCATACTGACTGTGATTGCCGATGTTATGAGAGGAGATTACACAGACCCAACCGAGTCAATTAATTCGAATTGCCAAAAAAACTACTAACTTCACTATAACAATAGAAAAAAGCCTCTTATTCGAGCGATGCTCTAATAAAGAAGGCACGTTTCGTCGCTTAACTGATGCGTGCATCAGACATGAAAAAAAAAAAAAAAAAAACACACACACTTTTATATCATAGACAACTAAACTCTACTTCGTTCAGTGTCGATCGTAACTGAGACAATGAATCAGGCCAGCCCTCAATTTCAGGTTACTGCCGCATGGCCGGGCATCAGCCCTTGACATGAGATCGATCCTACTGGATGTTTTTTCTAGTTATACTTCAATGATACGAATATCATTAGACTTTCTGCATGAAATTTGTTTACATAATAATCGCAAAGCCGTTATAGTGGTAAGCGATACTGCGAAACATTTGGCAAACGTTGCTTAGTACATCGGGCAGCTTTTGCGAATGAAGCATATGAGGTATCTGTGACTGAGAGCGCGGAAATCATTGGGAGAGCGTCGACGATTGTCTAGGCAATACGCGTCAAATGTCATTTTCATACAGCGTCTGTGAAGTCCAGATAAACGAAAAGACAATGCGCTAGGATTTCTTTCTGTTAGCCCTATCTTCACAATCATAACTTTAGATGCCTAATTCTAAAATTCTACCCGAAAAAACTTTCATTGATTTGCTTATTTTTATTATAGTTTATCACTGTACTATCTTTCTATATCCATTTCATATTCATCACCGCGTTTTCGGTTTTGTCTCGATTGAGATAACTTAAGTTCGTTTAAGTTCTGCCGTGCTGTGCGGTTCATTGATGTGACAGTAGAGCTGCAAGCGTGATACAGCCGTACTTCAAGACGAACTTACCGCTCCGGCTAGTAAACAGTATTCGAAACAAACGACTAATTACGAGGTAATGTCAATTGTTGCATGATCCCTATCAGTACAACATGACATTAGAACCCTGGACTGGACTGAGGACTGAATAAGCAGATCTCAAAACTTTCACCTGTTATCGAACGCTCATCTCTTCTCCCATAGAAATTCTCGTAAGGAAGCTATTAGTTTGAAATCAATCAAACGGAGTCACGGCTAAAAGCACAATTTAAATCATGTTTCTATATATTCGTAACATGTAACTGCGACGACTACTTGCAGCCGTTGAACGCTGACTGGGCCTTCTAGAACTCAGGGACCCTATTGATTATCAGGAATGCTCGCAGCAACATAAAGGTTCACTGAAGACCAAGGCAGAATACCCCCGTACGACAGAGAAAGGGATGTAATATCATATTAAAATTTCATAATCTAGTATACACAGAGCGCGAAGATGCAAATGCCCGAACTTAATGGGTCGAATACTAATCCAGTAACTACTGCTTATAACAATTATCTAAAAAAAAAAAAAAAATCAGTACATTACCGTGTTATTAACTAGTTTAAGGTATTGCTTTTAATAACTACAACCGATGCTAAGGGTCTTTCGAAACTAAAATCAGATATATAGAGTTTATGCCAGATTCTATTCCAAATGAAACTAAATATATTTCTAACTCCTATCTATAAACTACGTAATGTCGTATGAGCCCATAACGATAAGAAGGAGCTTTATTGCCAGTATTATAATATGGTAGGAAAATGGCATAAAAGACTATCCTTTAGGAAACTAGCTTAAAGCAGCGCATGTTACGACAGAACTACCGTCGAATCTGCTCTAAGTTTCGTTAGCAGGTAACTTCAAAGAGTCTAAAATAACCCTTTTATCAGTTGTAAACGATGATCTATCGTTACTTGATCCTGACTGATTTAGCCATGCGATAAGTTTCCTGCCACATCTGTCAATGTTTTACTGAGAAAAAGATGCCTAAAGTTTTACGTTCGGAACAGCCGTTATTGGGATTCGTCAGAACTTCAGAGTTTCACGATCGCCTAATAGTGCGGCGCCACTTATTCTATCTTCAACGTTGAAATTAAATTGGTCGACATAATCGTATACCTTCCGGAAATCTTAAGGTCGAGACACAATTCGCTGTCAATTTGCAGCGCGACGTCTGACCTCAGTAAAGTTTATACGCGCAGAAAAGCTGAGAAGCATTCGGATTTACTCAGACTGTCGCAACCGTTATGTTCAACAGGACCTCTTCGTATCTGCGTACTCTATCGACTCTTAATAAATGTATCAAAAACTAATGGGTGGGTATTCGTTTGGACCTGACACTGATAACAGGGTAGACAAAAATAGGTTTTATTTATTGTTGGATCGTCAATATATTCAGTGTGTTGGCGAAGATTTGAAACGCTGCAGATCAGCTGAGAAGCATTGTTACACAATACATCCCTAAGTAAACCTTTTTACTTGCTCGAGGAATATATTTGAGCGGTTTCGGTTGAGATTAGAATCGAGGCACTCGAGTTGCCCATATGGTAGAGAATGATCGTACAGAAACAAGTTCTACTCAAAACATTCGGGCATAAACTAGCTACTAGGAAGGCGTTCGACTACCCCCGCCGCTCCCCTTCTTCCTTGACGGCAAATTAAAACAGTGTACAACTATATTTACACATTATACAACAATATGCTTTCTTTATTTTTAATCATTTTCCATCACATTTGTTAGTACCGTTCCCGTCTGCATTTACATCAGATATGTACAAGATAATCTACAGGTTATTTCTACATGTTTATCCATCTTCCATGTTAAGCTGGCGGAAAACTGTTTTCGTCATTTGATTACTAGAACAGACTTCACTTGAACCGTTAGAAGATGTATTTATTGGTTCTTCTTTTTTTTTGCCATTCTGCGAGAGTATGCGTCAAACGTTTTAATAATGCTACCGCTCAATCAGTGCGTTTAATGGGATCAGAAGCCAACAAAGAGGCGATCCGCATTAGAGACAGAGAACTTTTCGCGATGGCGCTTTTTAGCCCCATTGGTGTGGGTCGCTGGAAGTGTACATGGCCGATACTGTTCTTTATATCTAAGTGGTTATTATTTCACAACTGAACATAGCTTCAAAAACCGTATCAACTGTTCTACGTCATACGTAATTGCAACATCTGACACCTTTAGAATCTAACTAATAGAACATGTGTCTTGCCTGCTATGGCTTGTTAGGGTTACATTGTCGCGTTTGAAAGCCGTATAGCCGCGTAAACGTAACGCTAAACGTCTATTCAGGTGTGATGAGATCATTCTGTTCGAGATCGATACATCACTTCACTTTTCACTGGATAACTTGCACCGGTATGGATCTTGTTTATCCTCTTTGTTCTTCTCTCGTCAAGCATCTGAACGCTCCTAATCAACATGTTTGTAAAGGATAAGGCGTCTTGAGAACACTCTTGTGCACAACTTGTCGTCTGCCTCAGTAGAAGTCAGATATCTAACTACTAGCCAAGTCTGTTTCAAAGCTGTTGTTAAGCTGGGGATGTGATCCGTCATCCCAACCTGCAACTGTGATTATTATTATTATTATTGCTGTTACTCTAAACGGGGTTCCAGGAGAACAGCCGCGGGGTCGTCGAGTTGCGCGAGCTGCAATTTCGGGGTCTGGAGGTTAGTGGCCGTCGCTGCGGAAGCAACGCTGGCCAGAAGAGGCGACCACATTGGACGGCCCGGGAATGACAGTTTGGGCTCAGGTGCCAGCAGACTTTCTACATCGAATGTTCGTCGAGTTGGTAAAACGGGCGGGGGGAAAGGTTGACAAAGCGTAAAGGGCGACAGGGCAGCTCCTGAAAGAGTTGTCGGTGGAGGTGGTACAGGACTGGCGCAGGGACTGTCGTCTTCATCAGGCACCGACAAGCCCATGTGTTTTCGTACCTTTCGTTGAGCCCGCCGTCTTCGAAAGTCGCCTCTCGTGAAATCGTCAATGTTGGCCGGATGAACGGCCCAGTAATGACCCTTTCCATTGGCACTGCGGCCAGCTTTGACAAAGCAGTCGTTCAGCGACAAATTGTGTCGAATCGAGTTGCGCCAGCCCGGCCCGCGGTTGCGGAAGTATGGGTAGTTTTCGAGAATGTAGTGGTAAATATCTGATAAAACCATCTTCTTTTCCGGTGAGCTTAAGATGGCCATAGCGATGAGGCCGATATACGAGTGCTGGGGTTTGGGATCTTCTTGCAAAAGGAAACGATTTAGACTATGGAACGGGTGGCCTAACAGCGGGCTGGGTACCTCGATTTGAGGCCCAAACGGCATCGGCGTCAAGAGCGACATCGGATTCTGGCTGACTAAACTCTGCTGATGTTGCTGAAGAAGACGCTGGGCATACTCCATTAGCCTTAGGTGACAATCTGTCATAGATGGTATGCTACTGAGGTCCGCGGGTTGAGGTGAACTAGACATTGTTACTGATCACAGTTTCGCAATACGAGGGAGATACGACTTGTACGATCAGTACCAGAATACAGGTGTTTTGCGACTCACACGGACCAACCAACCGGCCACTAGGCAACAGTTATACTTGTGGCTACAACTTTTATTGCCAAACAGGGACCGATCCGATGACAAGGCCGACTAACCAGAACTGTGAAGCTAAACTATAGTGTCTTCATCCGTCTGAAATGCGTGAGGAACTGTCCTTGTTTTCGCACTTGTTACTTGATGGCAGCTTTAATTTATGATGCTTGCTTAATCGACCGTTGCTGCACTAATCGACGTGTTCACAGAGAAATTGCTGCCACGGTCCTTACTGTTACTTTCAGTTCGTGCGTGGTTGTTGCTCCCACAAAGAGCAGGACACGAGTGCCTGCGGCTGGTAATTGTAGCGAGTTTATGTTTGATCGAGTAGGACACATGCGAAAGAGTCGACGTTGTACACGAACAACCAACACACAGCAGCAGCAGTAGTCAGCTCATAACTAGAAACTCAGCACTTGTTCGTAGGCTCTCACTTACACATACAAATACACACAGACAGCCACCGGGAGCACTCGAAACACTCACGTTCGAACATTCAGAAGACAACGGCCCGGTCCCCCCCGCAGTGTTCAGGCCCACACAACACACAGCGAGGCAGACGCCAGCAGACACAAGCAGACAATATTTGCAACGCCGTTTCACAACAGTGTAAAAATATACACACACACACACACTCGCTTAGTACAGGGAGGGCAGGCCAACGCTACGGTCGGCTCCGCCATTCGCTGGAACTTCGCGCGGGGAGGGGCCATAGGCGGAGTCCAACTCAGGCCGACAGCCAATGGCAGAGGCTTAAATTCAATAAAAAGTTTGACGCTTTAACGCTACTACTCGGTTATTGCCAGCTACGGCTACATCTAGAAGTACTGCTGCATCACCATCACTATCACACTGTATTCGTCGTTGTCCGCGTCGGTGTTCTCCTGCCACCGCTGCCGAAACTCCTGCTGCTGTTATTGTCGTTCTGGTCGTGAAGGAGAATCGAAGCAGGCGGACAGACGGGCCGGGAATTCGCCACCGTTATTCCTCCAACACTGGCCGTCTCCTAGCCTCCAGTTGTATATAGAGCCTGTTCTCTGGCGACTATGGGAGTAGAATAGAATCGAATAGCAGCTTGTACGCTAGGACAGGCAACAACGGCAGATGTATGAGAAGAAGACGAAGTTGGCCGATCTGACGGGCGGCATCCTACGAACGAAGAGGTGGATGCAGGTAGCGGCCTAGGAGAGCAGAACGGGAGCTCCGCCGGGGGAGGAGCACAAGGAGAACGTTGTTCAGGTCGACGAGCTCTACCGCTTCTGCTGGGGCAACGATGCGGTAGCGAAGCGAACAAACGTACAGTCGTCACCATCACCACCATCAGCAGCTTCGATTGAATCCAACTCTCTTCAGTAGTCGTTTCCTCTAGTGGCGTGTCTTGCTTCTGCTTGTCCCGACCTACCTGACGTGCTGCAGTCACCGCTACGACTGCTGCTGCTGCTGCTGCTGCTGTTGTTGTTGTTGTTGTTGTTGTTGTTGTTGTTGTTGTTGTTGCTGCTATCTTCGTTTTCCGCTTGCAAGAAAATGGCGGAAGCGGCTGGGAGGCGCTGGTGGGGGATCCATGGGGGCTGGGTATGCCTATGGGCCATTGGGCTGACAGCGTAGTAGCAGAAGAAGAATAGAAGCAGCAGGAGAAGCTAGGAGCCAGACTGCGTATATATTTAGACAAATTCAGTCAGAAAGCCTGTGTTGTCCTATATATA